ATCTGGGCTTTTAGAAGCTTGCAAGCACCATCTAAGAAGTAAATATTGGTCTCTTCCCACCTGGGCTATAGAAGAATGAAGGAAAACAAAAACTTAAGGAAGCAATTAGTCCAAGGAACTAATGGCCCATGTGAATCACAGCCTCCTCTAACCTGAGACCTGAAGAACTAGATGGTGCCTCGCTACCACTATCACCAAGACCGCAATAGAAGGTCCTGGTTAGAACGGGTGGAGGGGGGAGGACAAAATTCAAAGTCTCTCACCCCAGAAGACCAGACTTACTGGTTGGAAAGAGACTAGAGGACCCCCCAAGACTATGCCCTAAGAAAACCTAACTTGAAACTGAAGACACTCCTGGAGACCCCCTTCCAGCCACATTGTTACTGACAGGACTGTAAAACACAGTGTGAGGAATGTGTTCCTCAGAACTATCAACTATATGAAACCACATGGCAGTGTTTGCTCAAAGCCAAAGATACAGAGAAAGGGCGGGACAGAGGGAAATGGGGAACCCAGGAAGGAAACAGGGAGAGTGTTGGCACACTGTAGGATTGCAACCAGTGCCACAGAACAGTTTGTGTATGAATTGTTGATTGAGAAAACTAAATTGCTATGTAAACATTCGAGTAAAGCACAATAAAATGTTTAATTTTTTTTTTTTTTAAAGCCCACATAAACCATGGTCCTTCTAGCCTGAGACCAAAAGAACTAGAGGGTACCCATTTACCATTACCAAGCTGCCAAAGGGGAAGGATGCCGCATCTTCTGACCTCCTCTAATCACACAGGAGGAAGACAAAATCACCATCAGTAGACCAAGGCATATTCCTGTGAGGCCAGACATGCTGCCTCCCTCCAGCCCTTTTGCCAACCCTGACACCAACTGTTCCTCCTGCAGCACCCACCACCTCTCTGCTGGGTTCGATAATTCACTGCAGTGGCCACACAGAACTCACAGATTATGGGGTGTATTAGGGAATCAACAGACTACAATTCAAGTTCAGAAATGCACTCAGTCTCTTGCAGCCGGCCATTCAGGCCACCTCACTCGGCAGTCGGCAGTCCCAGTAGCACATCACTCTCTCAGTAGTGTCTCTCACGTCTCTCAGGAACGTGTGTCTTTCGCTTCTCTCTCTCACCAAGTGCATGTCTCTCAGAAGTGTGTTTCTCTCAGCAGCACATCTTTCTCAGCCAGCAGTCAGAGAGACCCCCTTCTGCCTCCAGGAGGGCTCCTTTTGAGCCTGGCATACTGGCCGTACTAACCAATCCCAACATTAGAATTTTATACACCTGAGAGAGAGTGAACTTCCCAGAAGATTGCTTCCCACCCCTCTCAACAGAAATGCCCCAGATGGATAACTTTAAAAAAAATCAGGAGCTACTCAGATGCTCATGGCAAATTCCACCTCAGAGTTTACAAAGACTTATGGCTAGAAAAGACACAATATGTGATTTATTACACCACAGGCCACTCCCTGGCTTTTCAAGCCATTATCCCTTTTATA